AGAAGTAGTAATACACATATCTGGAATAAATTAAGTCCCTATAGTAAGTTTTTATTATTAATCACAGACGTTTGAAAAAAAATCAAATCAATCTGAGAGTGCCATCTTGAGAATTTCACAAATCTTGTAAAATTCATGCTTTTTTTACTGTGAAGGGTAATGCTGTACTTCAATTTTGACAGAACCGAGCTCATCAGGGAGGCTATGGTAAATGCTGGGGAATTAAATTCAAATATCATGAAATTCTTTCCTCTGCATGGTTCCAGATCTTAGTAAGCTTGACTTAGTTAAATAGATATTTAATGTGAGCTGATGCATTTTTTCCATGCTTCATCACAGCATCTTAGTGACCTACAGAAGGTCTTCATAATTCTGCCAGGATGTGTATAGAGGAATGAAGGTCCCTAGCGGATGGGGGAACTGCAGTCTCTTTTAACCAACTGAAATTCTGGTCTACAGTTCTTGAAGGATTCAAAACCTGGTGTTGAATTACCAAAGATGTTCTGTGCAATGCAGATACAATTTGATATATCTGTCTTTTTTTTTTTTTTTTTTTTTTCAGGAATGCATGGCAAGCAGTGGCAATAACTTTGATGCTCCTTTTCGTAGAAGGTTCCTTTTCATAGAAAGAATTTTTCTTTTTAGTTTTAAATGTTTTGCCTTCCAGTGTGATTTACTACTGTGGTAAGCTTTGGCTTTACATACAAGGTCTATGCACACCATCATGGACATAGTTGCTAATTCACCACAGGAAACCAGGACCATATGCTGTCATATGGGATCAACAGATTTACATTGGGGAAAATGTTCCTAAAGGAAACTCCCTCACTCAGGATTGGAGTTTCACCTACTGGGAATTATTTGCCTGGAAAATTCTGTTTATGCTCCTTGTGCAGGGTATTATGAATCTATTGCATTTATACTGAATATGAATGCCAAAAGGGTTGCAGAGCAGCGCCATTTCTCTGAAAATGACTCCAACGAAGGAATTAAATGTGCCAAAATTCCTGGTTGTGAATGACCAGGTAAATAGGGAAAAGTTCGTGATCTTCCTGGGGCTCTGATGTGAGGGTTAAGATGTTTCTGTTGTTGAGACTTCAGCCTTTGCTGCATTTCCTGGTTTTCTTGTACTGTATCTTTTTTCTCCAGGGTTGAATGTTTTTCAGCATTACATGTGCACCATAATGTGCACCAAATGTGCAGCTTCACCCCATGTAGCTGCAATTTCATTATAGTAAAAAAGTAATTATTATGACTTGTTTTACATCTTCCTTTTTTGAACTATTTTTTGATGGAAAAATGAAGTTTTTCTTTGCTATGGCAAACCTTGGCTGTTGAGTTTTAATTCTGTCTCAAAGGAAATGACTAGTGATCCATATTTTCTTAAGAAAAACATGGTACAGTTTAACAAGTGCAGTAGCAACACAATCAGAACTCTGAGGTAATGTCTTACTATTTGCTCAGTGATGTTAACCACTAAACTCTGTCATTATCGTGCAGAATTGCTACAGTCAGACAACAGCAATTTCAGGATCTGCACATTGTGTAACTGTTTTACAAATATTTATTGACCGAGAAGAAATAGCAAAGTGAAGCAAGCTCAGAGAGCTAGTGTTGTTCCACTCCTTGTAAAGAATCTTGCTCTGTGATTTACATTAGTCTCCAGTAAAAATGTTTTCAAGAAATATCTCTCTGCATGCAGAAGAGAAGCTTTTATTTTAGCATGGGTAGGTGGTGAATCATCACTGATGATTATTTTCTCCTACTCTTCGTCTGTGTTAACTGTAACAGTGTTAACTGTAACATCTCTGGGCATGTATCATAATTTATTGCAAAATAATAGAAGACGAAACCATCAGAATAGCTTCTCTTCCCTTCCATGAAAGATTTATTTTTGAGAAAATGCTTTCCTCAAGAGCTAAGGCTGAAACATCTCATTCTGGTTTTGGTTTTGCGCTCTGAAATGAAATAGAAAATGAAATAGCTGAAGTGGAAAGGTGATGGAGCAACTCATCCTAGAGACCATCTCTGGACATGTGAAGGAAAAGAAGGTGATTAGGAGTAGTCAGCATGGATTCACCAAGGGGAAGTCATGTTTGATGAACCTGATAGCCTTCTGTGATGGTATGGCTGGCCAGGCGGACGATCAGAAGACCATGGTTGTTGTCTACCTTGACTTCAGCAAGGCTTTCAACATCATCTCCCATAACAACCTCTTGGGGAAGCTCTGGAAATATGGATTAGATAAGTGGACAGTGAGGTGGAGTGGGGACTGGCTGCACGGCAGAGCTCAGAGGGTTGTGATAAGTGGGGCTGAGTCTAGCTTGAGGTCTGTGGCCAGTGATGTCCCCCAGGGGTCAGTACTAGGCCCAGTGCTGTTCAACTTGTTGGATGAGGGCACAGGGTGCACCCTGAGGAAGTCTGCAGATGATCTCAAACTGGGATCCCAAGCAAACTGCACGGAGTGGTTGACATTCCAGAAGGCTGTGCTGCCATTCAGAGGGACCTAGTCAGGTTGGAGAGTTGGGTTGGAGAACCTCATGAGGTTCAAAAAGGACAAGCACAGGGTCCTGCCCCTGGGGAGGAATAATCCCAGGCATTAGTACTGATTGGGGATTGACCTGCTGGAAAGCAGGTCCGTGGAGAATGATTTGGGAGTCCTGACAGACAGCAAGTTAACCATGAGACAGCAATGTGCCCTTGTGGCCAATGGGACCCTGGCCTGCATCAGGAGGAGCGTTGCCAGCAGGTGGAGGGAGGGGATCCTGCCCCTCTGCTCAGCTCTGGTGAGGCCATGCCTGGAGTACTGGGGGAAGTTCTGGGCTCCCCAGGACAAGAGGGATGTGGAGCTGCTAGAGAGGGAGCAGCACTGAGCGACAAAGATGATTAAAGGACTGGAGCATCTATCTTATGAGGAAAGACCAAACAGAGAACCTGTTTTAGCCTAGAGAAGAGAAGATTGAGAGGGGTTTTGAGCAATATGTATAAGTACCTGAGGGGAGAATGTAAAGAGGATAGGGCCAAACTCTGTTCGGTGGTGCCCAGTGACAGGACAAAGGGTAATGGGTACAAACTGAAACAAATGAACTTCCATCTCCATATGAGGAAGAACTTTACTGTGAACATGACAGAGTCCTGGAATAGGCTGCCCAGAGATTCTGTGAGTCTCCCTGTGTGGAGATGTTCAAAACCCATCTGGATGCAACCCTGTGCCACGTGCTCTAGGTGACCCTGTGTGTGCAGGGGGGTTGGACTAGATGATCTCTAGAGGTCTCTTCCAACCTCAACCGTCCTGTGATTCTGTGCGAAGCCACTTGCACTGCCAGGTCATGTAAACCGTGCTGAAGCTTTAATATGTCCTGGGACCCTGAATTGGGCATCCCAAGGCTGCAGCTATTTGTGCAGGCTCAGGGAGAGAAGTGCAGTCAGCCATAGAGTGAGACCAGCAGTTCTGAATGTGAAAGAACAGGCAGATTATTTTTCCTTTGAAATATGAGAGAGAAAATTCTAGGATTGCCGGAAGACCACAGACATGACCAGAAAGTATCTACACAGTCTGTGCTCAGAAGACTTTTGTCTCCTCTGCACAAAACCTGTTCCATGCAGGTCTCAAGGCCCAGCAGGAGCAAGCAGGTTCATCCATTTTTTTCATTTCCCTGACTGTGTCTCCTCAGGTTATACGAAGGCTGGGATTCTGCATGCTTCCTAAGTAACTATTAAGAGGCTACTCCATTAGCCTTCAGTAGCCTCCAGTTACAAGCCTCAGTAGCATTGGTGTGCTTTACTCCCTAAGTCCAAACCTCAAAATTCTCTAAGGCAAAAAGTTCTCCTAGGATTTCCCAGGAATCTTCCCAGTTTATGATTTTGCAGAAGGATTTATGATCTGAGTGAAAAATAGGTTTGTCAAAAAAATGCTGAATTTTATTTGAGCATTCTGGGATTTTCCTCTACTCTTGTGCTAGTTTGGAAAACAAGCCAGATTGGTGGCTCAGGTATCTACTGGTAATCCAGCATTTGTTTTAATAGTCAGTTCATTAAGTATAGAAGCCCTTTCAACTGAGTAATTCAATTTGGAGTGAATAAAACACAGAAATATACAACCTGTAGGAACAATCTTACTTTGGTAGGAATGATGTATGAGGCATAAAAGTAGAGGCCTCTTCTTTCTGTAATTCCTATAGACCAGCTTTGAAGTCCTTAATCAGCAGACTTCATACTGAATGCAGCAGGTCTGAATCAGACCAGAAAGTGACAGAGAATGTTACGTCTCTGGGAAGAAATGTGAGGACAGGATCCAAACTCTACTAGAGATATACTATTAAATTTACTAGTGAAGTTTCTCAGAACACTTATTCTGTATCTGTGTAGCAATCATCTCGTTTATTTGCATTAATACAGTTTCTGCTTGTTGGGTCACTTTTGCCTACACTGCCAAGGCTTGACTCCACTGTCTCTTCATAAGAATCCATTTAAGGCACGCTAGGGCATCTACATACAATAAGCAGATATGAAACCCAATTAAAACACACCTAATACATTCTCTTTGTAAGGATGGGATTTGGTCTTCTCACTATAGGCCTCTAGGGCCTTCAGATTCCTGTAGGATCTCCTGTTTGGTATTGACTTAATTATATGTCATACCTGCAAGCTACTGTCTCAGATAGAGAAAGCCAATTCTTTGTACAGACTGTGCTTTTGTACTTTAAATAATCAAGGGTGTAGCAGTCATTGCAATGCACATTTATCTGCTATTTTGTAGTTGCATCCTGCAGCTGAGCTGGGCAATTGGGTGTTTTAATCAGGTGTCCTAAAGACATGTGAGTCTCTAATTCCCATGTTTTTTCCTTTGCAGATGCCATCATTGTCCACAGCGGTGCTCCAGGGGCCAAGAGAAGCCATGCTTTCTGACAGAGTACATGGAGAAATATCCCCTTTATCCCAGCTCTCATCCCAGACGCTCGTTCAAGCCCAGGGAAGAGTACCGGAAACCACAGACACCCATGGAAGGCATCTCAACTATAAAGTATGAAAAGAAGTGAAAGAGAGTGAAGACTATGAGCTAGAAAACGTGTGTGTGGGAGATGCATGAGAAAAGGGAGCAAAACCATCGTTTTCACAAGGGAAACCTGAAGAGAACAGTGCTGGGGTGGTAGAGGCAGTTGAAAGGGCTCCATGAAAGGAGTGGTGAAGGACAGCAGAGCTTGAGGCCAGTTGTTATAGCAGGGGCAAGGAGGGGAGGTGTGGTCTGCTCAATGGACATGTGGACCACTGGGCCATACAAGCCCATGATCTTGGCATCATTTCACTTCCTGCTTTAGGTAGGCTTCTGGAAAATCAATAGAAATGTTGTCTGAGAAAATATGGATACTATTTACTTATTTATTTATCTTAGTTGGTGTTCTGTGATCCGTATGGCACTATGTACAGTGTGACCTGAGTGACTGGTTTCCAAGGAAGTGTGAGTGTGGTAAATTGTGTTGACTGGAAAGGGTTGTGAGTGCCCTCTTCAAGGGAGTCACTGCCCAGTGCTGAGCTGTTTTTGCTTCTGAGTGACATTGCTGCTCAGACTCTTGATATTCAGCATAAATCCTCACACTAGCACTGGACCCATTTCACTGATGGTGCTAATTGCTGAGCCTGCTCCTTACTGCTTGCTAGGGGAGCACTTGTGCACAGCAGAAACTCATGAGAAAAAGGCTTGGATCCTTCAGCTTGCCTCTGAGACCTTTGCTCAAATGAAGGCTGCCGCCTGATCTTCGTTTACTTTCTCTGTCATCACAGGAAGGTACATGAAAAAAATGCATTTTTGGCTTTGCTGGAACTAGTTAGAGATCCAGAAGATGTCAATGGCTTTAGTGAATATTGCCGATGGACTAGTCAGTGTTAGTATTTAACACCATCCATGAATGACATGGAGACACTACCACCTGCTTCCCTCCCCATGCCTTCCTAAGAATTGACAATAAAACTCATAAATGTTGCTGAAATGCCTAACTCCTTGCATTTGGGATGCCTCTGCCTAAGCAGGAAATTTCAGCAGCCATTGCAAGTCCTTGGAGACTTCAAATAGACTTTCTTAGACTTAGGTTCTACATATATCTTCTGTCTCCTGCATGAGCTAGAACAGCTGCAAAGATAATTATCTTTGTGTCTGCTCATAACTAACTCCTTGGATCTTTGTATGCTCTTCAGGAAAGTGAAGATGGGCAGCACTATGAGAGGTCCATCAAGAAATCCTTAGAAGTTTCCTGTTCAAATTATCTTGTCTTCTAAAAATTAGACTGACAGAAAGCACAGAAACAACTTATATTTGCTTCCTCATAGCATATGCTCCGTGTATTCCTAACACTTAACTACCCTTGTGAGAAGAGAAAATACCAAACTTGGAAAACTAGCCAACAGCTAACAGATTACAATTCCCACTGTCCTTTTCAACGAACTATGGTTGAGAAAAAAACATGCCATGTTAAAGTGTCAAGGCCCAGTGGGAAAGTGCCAAAGCCCTCTAAAGAGGACTAAAAGCTCTCCTGTGTAATTAAAGTCTCCTCAGTCCAAACAAATTGACTGAAGGAAAAGAAAGAATAAATATGATGACTGTGAATTCAGCAAATACTGACCAGCCCAATGTAACAGCCCTGGGCTGATTGTCTGGTGTCATTGCAGCAACAAACCTCCTTGATGAAGCCTAAGAGATGATTTCATGTTGTCTTGGATGCAAGTTGCACTGATTTACCAGCAGATCAATCTATCCTTTGTCATTGCCAAAGCAATAGTCAGAGTATGAGAAGACTGTACTGCAAAGAAAATCCTTGGACACACTGATGAAGAATTGCCTGGTTGTGATCTGTTACATGCCTCAGGCTGGACTCTTTCTGATACCGGATTGTGCAGTCAATCTTAGGAAAAGCCCTCTATGCTACTGAGGATGCTACATACCATTGCCTTTCTGCTTGCCTTTTTTCCATCCCTCTTAAAATCTACACTTTGTAGTTAGGCAAAGGTATACTTCCCTGACTAAAGTCTGTAAAGGGGCTGTGTGAAACCTGCGTAAGCATTTCTTCATCCTTCCTTCCTTCCTTCCTTCCTCCCTTCCTCCTTTCCTTCCTTCTTTCTGTGTTTCTCCTCTCCTCTCCCCTTCTTCAGCTCTACTTTTACTTCTCTACCCAGTACTTTGCAAAGTTAATGTTCCTTCCTTCTACTCCACGCACAGGAGTTTTATAACCTTGTTTATTTGCTAAAACACGCATATAATACCCTGATCAAATGCTTGAATCTCTTGCTCACTC